TAACTGTTTCTGCAAAATGCAGTCTGAAAGTCTCAAAAATTATTAAAAAAAAAAAGATGACTATAATTTTTTCCCATTTTTCCTGTCAAAATTCGACTATATTCACTGCCTTTCCTCTCCTCTTTTGGTCGAAAAATCCCCCCGAAACGAGAGAGCGCAACCTTTGCAAAGCGAACGGGCAGAGAAAAAGAGAAAATTCGTAAAAAGCGGTCAAGTCCGCAGGGACCACGTCACTGCGAAGAGGAGAGGTGGGAAAAGGCATTTTGGAAAGTAAGAAAATTGGGACGCGTCTGGAAATAGTAGGATTGGTGTGAAAATATGACGGAAGAATCTACGTAGCAGCCTGTCGGGAAAATAATGAACGAAACGCTGCTGCGCCAAACATGTCGCTGAATGAAAAGTGATTTTTATTTTGTCACAATAAATTTCCTCAGCGCCGATGCGATTTTCGATGCTACAGAGTGCTCATTATTTTCCCGACAGATTGGTATGGGACCTGTTTGGAGACCAGTAAATTTCGGTTTAAAAAAAAAAAAAACATTTCAGGACATAGATAAAGGCTTCAAGGTTAAATTTTTCATGACTATATAACTCGGCGTTAAAGTTGACTGAAAACCTCAAAGATATTTAGCTGGAAAAATGACATAAATTCGACTTTTGTGATATTTTTTCAATTCTAAATTGGGAATAAACTCCATTACGAAAGTATACCTACCTCATGGGAAATTGCAGTATCTTAGGTTTGGCAAGAGCTATCAAAAAACTGATTATACCATTTGAAAGAGCATGACAAAAAGCCTGTTAACGCATGGAATTAGCCGATGAAAAAGATTTTGGTCGGTTTGGCAGCCATTTTAATATTTTTGACCATTTTTAAAACGGAGTGTATAAGATTATAATAAAAGATTATAAGATATCAGTCTTCCCACGCAAAATTCGCGATTTGGATAGAACATGATCCTATAAATGTCTCCCCTATTTCCATGCAGACTAGAAAAAAGATTGAGCATCTTTACTAAAGTGGCGGACATGATCCAGTGACAAAAAAAGTACCATCTTGGACCGGGAAGTATAAAAAATGTAGAAAAATACTTCCCTTTACAAGTGTAAAACTACGTTTCGAAAGCTCTCCCTCACAAAAAGATCGGGCGCGCTTTTGAAATCGGAGTTTTTTCACTTGGAAAGGGAGGTATTTTGCAACATTTTTTATACTTCTTGGATGCAAAATGGTACGTTTTTTGCCACTTGATAAGGTCCGCCACTGTAATCTGTAGTTTTGCAGAGACTCGGTTAACTTTCGGACTAAAAATCTCGGTTGTTTCTGCAAAATACGAGCTATAAATATATCGTATATATTTCATCAAAAAAATATGTCTGAATCTTCGCCAAATTTCATCAAAATACCCCACTATTTTTAACTATTTTTTGCGCTATGAAAAGGAAATAATTTTTGAACTGCCCTAAAAACTTTCCTGACCAATCAGACACCCTTCCCGTACTAATAAACGAATCTTTCCCACTTCCTGATGCAATTATGTACTATAAAGTAATAAATAGAAAAGACTTGCAGACGCTGGGAAAGCCGCCTGAGAACGTGGGGTTTGCTTTTAACTTCTCAAGTCTGACACTGTGTCAATATTACTCACTTGTGAGGTTTTGAAAGGCGCTGAAATCTCTTCCGAAACGATCAGACTTAGGTTTGTTAGAAATTTCAAAATAAAGTCTGAAAAACTGGGTTGAAAACAACTGGGATTTTGTTTATTTACATTTGAAAAACCGCCGGTTTTTTTGAAATTTATCTTTGCTGACGAGAGAGTACACCAAAGTGGAGAGGGGCCAGACAAAATATTAGGTTGATTCATAATTATCCGGCGTTTTTATTGGCGCGTTTTTTGTTAGTTAAAATTCGCGTTTTGTTAACTTTTTTTCATAAGAATAATCTTATCTGTTTAGTTAATAAAATGACTGTCGAGAACCATACTCATATTCGCCATATTACGCTCTACAACTTCGAGAAAATTTTGAAGTCAGCACGGTCATTTCGAGATCTCAAGAAATTTTTCGGCGAAGGAACAAAAAATAGACACGATATCCCAGTGGATGATTCCGCTTCTGTCCCACCACATATACCACGTAGCCTTCTTACAGTGGACGTCTTTTGGTATTCCTTTGGGACACCTGGCGAATTTTTTTTGTTCCTTCGCCGAAAAGTTCGTTGAGATCGCGGAATGACCGTGCTGACTTCCAACTTTTCTCGAAGTGGTAGAGCGTAATATGGCGAATATGAGTATGGTTTTCGACAGTCATTTTGTTAACTAAACAGATAAGATTATTCTTATGAAAAAAAGTTAACAAAACGCGAATTTTAACTAACAAAAAACGCGCCAATAAAAACGCCGGATAATTTTGGATCAACCTAATATTTGTCTGTTTTCTTGCCAATTCCGGGAAAATTTTTAATTTTTTATGGAAACGTTGCGTTATCCGATAGCAATAAAACTGAAGCTTTTCATGATTGCACTTGCAAAATAAGTGTTAAATTTTCGATAAAGTTTTGATTGAAAAGCCTCGATTGTCTCAGTTTCCGTAGTTTCTAGTGAGCAAAGACCGTTGAATATCTTGGTTAATCTAGCAAAGGAAATGATAAAAAAATATTTGAAATGGGATGTTACCGTAGAGGTGTGAAACAGCTACCATAGCTAGGTAGTTACTCGTATATGTCCTAGCGAAAAGTTGTCAATACGAAAGTTGCTTATAAACATTCATTCTACATCTTGAAAAAAGTCCGAAGTAAATCGAGCAAATACCCTAGGAGAAACGGAAAATCAAAAATTGTTACAGTATACCTACAGTCAGTCAAAAAATTAAAATTTGGCCTGTCCATTTTAGTACACGATTATCTACAAAACTATGGTAGGTTTTTCACATCTCATGTCATCTTTTTTTTGTGCACAAGGCATATCTGAAAACTCTCTTTGAAGTTTTTTTTCAACCAAAACTTTACTGTAGAATAAGCCTTCAGCTGCTCATAGCGCATCAATAACATCCCGAGAGCTCCCAGAACATGTCATAAGAATACAAACGTCCGTCCAAACTGACCCCCGAGAAATACATTCGACTGACTTCCGTAAAACGTAAAAAATTTCATGTCGAACACAAAAAACGGCCGTTTTTTGCGGCCGCTTCTTCCGCCGTACACATTCCTCCACTACGGTTCGTCTCGGCCCTCGGGGCGCGAATGCACTCGATTGGCGTGAAGCCCAATTTTGTTCGGACACAAAATTTCGGCTCTGCATTCGCGGCGCAGGGAAATACTCGGCTTTTCGGCGGTTATCTGGCCGAAGGAAGCGCCCGAGGTGCAGAGCTTCGTGTTTGATGAAGCTTGCGGCTAATTGAGATTACAACTTTTTAAGAGATAATTTTCAAAAACCACCGAAATTCGTAGGCACGGCGTTCTGTACTTTTGGAAGACAACCGATCTCCGCGACTTTTTCATTTTTTTCAGAATGCGCTTGCTTTTCCTCTCTATATCTGGCTAGCCGATTGCGCTAAAAGGCTAAAATTTGGCAGTAGAGTAAAAAGCCGGCTTTCAGAAAATGTAAATATTGTAAGGAAGTATAGCCTTCATAATGACAATAGTTCTAATTAGATCGAGATTTGGCAAAAAAATTTACATTTTTATGCTATTTTCGACGTCAAAAAATGATGATTTCAGTACATATTTGGTGGATAGAAAACGGGGTACCTCAGCTTCAATTTGATATAAATTTTATGAAAATTGATGCATCATTGGCGGAGAAATACTTGAAATAAGGATGGAAGCTTCGGCTCAGCCACCCTGTAGTTCCTAGTACAATATTTTTCCAAAAAATGATTTGCTAGAGAGATTTTTAGGTCAAATGTTTGACAATTTTTTTACAAATTATGAAAAATATCAGTGTTTTTTTCCACCGAAGAAAGAAAAGACGGCTCTCCTCATTTTCCATGATCTCTCATTACTAAATATTGTTGAATATCTCGGCGCTTGCAAAGCGAGAGCTAAAAATTTTGTGAATTTTTATAAGGCCTATACAAATGAGAAATAAAAAAAGATCAAAACCTCCAGACATTATGGTATATCTCTTCGAAAACGCTAAAAAAAATCACGATCAAAAAACGGTAGGATTTTTATTACTCCCGGAAAAGAACTTTATTATTTCCCCACCAACCTTTTTTTAGAGCGCCAATTACAAAAATCAACGAGAGCAATGCGTTGAAAAGGAACTGTTCCCGATTTTGTGTCGCGAAGGGAATGTGGAGCACGTTCGAATGAATCACGCATGAAGAGAATAGTCGCATTACGCAGTTTCTTCAAGTGCTGTCCCAAATTTTGCATTCCAATCAAGTTGCTGAACGAAATTGATGGGGAAAACGTTATAGTACAGAGCTGAGTTTGGATGATGATTTTTTGAAGAAAAATTTTTCTGAGGTGTGCAAGATTTTTAGCTTGCGCTTTGCAAAAAAATCATGCGCCTTGGTTCGGAAAATCGTTAGATTTTGCCATTTTTGATATTTTATGTGATGAAAAAGACTGATAAAAATGATTTAGGAAACGCCTTAGGGCTCAAAAAATTTTTTCAATCTCTTCATCATACATGGTAACAAAGTTGTCATTCACAAAATGACAAAAAAAGTCAAAGCTTTCGGCTTCAAAATCTCGAGATTTTCAGCAAACAGCAGGCTAAAAACTTTATGTTTTTTTTTGTTAGAAAATTCTGTCTAAATTTGTGACGAATTTCATCAAAAGTTGTGTGTAATGTTTTTCATAAAAAATTTTTTTGTGGGTACCAGCAAATAAAAAGGCTGATAAATAAAAGATCTAACTATTTTTACTCGTTTATACACTTATAAATTATAATATCGATCAACAAATATTTATTTTCTATTTATCTCTCTTTCTTATGAGATCCCGTCATTACAATTAAAGGTATTTTCGTATCTTCCAAAAAATTTTTTTGGCTTTAAACTTTTTTCTTTCCATTTTTGAAAGGCCACGGGGACAAGTTGGAGGTGGTCGGATACAAATTGTTCATGTTTTCAAAGTTGGGTACATTGCTGATGATCGTTGGGTATCCGTTGAAATTCATGCCTTGAAACCCGCTGATTCCTTGGCCCGCCAAAACTTGAGCAAAATTCTGATGGTTCAAGCTGAAGCCCTGAGGGTTTGAGTTCAAATTCATCGCGCCATTGTAAAAATTATTGGCCGGCCCGAGCATGAAACGACCCGTGTTGATGTCGATGGTTCGGGGGCGATGATCTATGGCCGGTTTTGGATGTGCGGCCAAGCGCGTTATCGTATTCGAGGTGCCATTAAACGCTGTGGAATTCAAGGCCCCGTCCGTGGTGCTTGTGCTGTAGCACAAGTTGCCATCGCCGCAACTGTAGCCACTGGGGCATTTGCCGTTCACGCATTCGCCCGCCACACCGATCATCCCCACCGCACAGCAGTAGTTGTTGGTGTTGCAGGAGTAGCCGACTGGGCATTTTCCGTTCACACAGTTGCCTGTAATTGAAGTTATAATAGTTTTTAGGACACTTGGATATTGTAAAAGGTATTGGTTGCGTTCTTTAAGACAAGTGTTTGATGTGCGACGCTCATATTTTCTTTAATTTAGGGCTACGTTGTGCCTATATCCATCAATTTGGCATACCAATTTCCCAAAATTTCAGCTCTTGCAAAAACAGCCTTGCAAAGAAAAGAGCACACAAACGAGGAGAGCTGTCAGTGAGAGAGAAAAGAAATTTTGTCTATGCCTTTGCAAATTCTGCTAGGAAAAAATGATCCTTGCAGAAATCTTGCTCACAACAGCATAGGAATGACAGAAACTTTAGCGTTCAACGCAAAAAATGTCGTCAGTTTTTCATATTTTTTTGCCTCAAAAATCCCGGCTACTTCTGGAAAGCGCGTGGTGAAAATCATGTGCGTAACTTATTAGATGTTGTCTAAATCAGCGGCAAGTCTCATCCACGTTGTTTTGATTAAAAAAAATGAAAACGGGCAAAATCTTTGAAGTTTTCGCTATAAAAAAAGAATAAAAAATCCTTACCAATCGACTTGCCCACCGGGCAACGACAGCAATAATTTGACCGGGTACAAAAGAAGCCTTGGCCACAAAGATTGTTCAAGCATGCTGCAACGGCATCCTCGCCATCGCAAGAGCCTAAAAACCAACGTTAACTTATGCAATAAGAAAGGAAATTTCTATAAGTAAATTGATTTAAATCTACAGTAATCTGCGTTGTTCTGTAGCATCTAATATCTGAAAAATTTTTTTGTAAAATCTTCTTACCAGTCAAAGTCTTCGCCGCCGGACAACAACAACTTCCGGTGCACGTGAACTGCGGCATGATGGCCTGACATTGCGACGCCGGACTACAGGAGAAGCACGATGACGGGCAATTCGAGTAGAACTGGCGCTTCGTCCGCTTCACCTCTTTGGCATTCAGCAAGCACAAAAGGCCGGCCATGAAGACCGTTGAGGGCCACATGACCAGGATATGTCTGCAATGAAGAATCGGGAACTAAACCGCCCTGTAACCGATAGCTCGATGCGCGCTGTAACCGATCGCCGCCGGGAATCGCCTTCGTGCAAAGCGATAGGGCGGGCGGCGGAGCGCGGAAGCCGCGAGTAAGTCGAGTTCAACCCTTAACCCAGTGTTGATCTTGTCCCCAAACCCGATGGACTGTTGAGGGGGGGTTGCTTGGGGGTTTGGCCGCGCGCTCCCAGTGAACATGACCAGCGGATCGAGCAATCCGCTGGAACCAGGTTGTGTTGTCTGAGCGGGCGGCGACTTAACTTCCTCCAAGCTCGCGACGTCATCCTCCCAATGTAGGCTTTTTCGGGGGTGGATTTCGCAATGGAACTGCAGAAGTCGTAGCTCTCTTGCAATTGTTAGAGTTTTGGATCAAAAGCGCATAAGAATTAACCAAAAATGGTAATGGAAAACTGGCATCCTGCTTTTCATAATGACGTAGTCAAAATTTTGGCAAAAAATAAGTCATCTTGTAGACAAATTCCCGTTAAACCAAACCTGTCTATAACAATCATCTTCGGAGGTGCTAGGAGCTGATTTTAGACCGAAATAAACTTCCCTAACTCTATGTAATTTTTTGTTGCTATGTTGTGAATAGACTATATACCAAATTTTTTCCGAATTGGTACACTTTGGGCCGAGTTAGAAGGGGGTCAAAACATTGTACGCGGAATATATTTAACAATAATAACAATTCGTTTGCTCCCTAGCTACAATGGGGCATCTGATCCAGTGGCACAAAACGCACCATTTTGCACCCAGGAAGTATCAACAAATGTAGCAAAATAATCTCCAAGTGAAAAAATCCGATTTCAAAAGCGCACCTTTTTTTGTTGGAGAAGGAGGCATTTTGCGACATTTTTGATACTTCCCGGATGCAAAATTGGTACGTTTTTTGCCACTGGATCAGGTCCGTCACTGTATATCTGTAAATACCTCAATTTTTCCATCAATGCTCACCAAGAACCCGTCGAAAAAAATACGTTCTTTCTCTAACCGCACTCCTTATTTTGCACACTTTCTTGTCAGCAAAGAGCGTTCAATCTCGATTGCCAAAAAACCCCCAAAAAATCTATCTGAAGTGGCGCTGTCAAGAAGCCTCAGCTACAATCTCCGACCCATACGAATATTCTCAATTCCGCGTGGGCGCAGGCCCCGCTCGCGACGTTACATGGCCGCGCAAATCGGCTCACAATTCCGCCCACCGGGTATCATGCCCACAGATCCCGTTTGCAATGCGTTTTCAAGACGCGTTTAAGCCGATTTCCGCGGCAGTTGCAGAAACCGATGACTTTGGCTGAAAGGATAATAAAGTTGAAACAAACCGAGTAATTTTATTGAATGAACATTTTGAAAAACAAAAAAAATGAAAATTTTTTCAAAACGAAGCTTCACACCAGCAAAAAGATTACATGCAACTGTTCTGCTTCGGAATTTCCTTGCCAATATTCCGGAATGCTGTGTAAAAATTGGAACGGCAAAATTAGAACCCAACTACAACCTCTCTTCGAGCTTTTTGATAAGGAAAAAAGGCCAAAACTGAAGAGCTCCAAGTGTGATGACTTGCCGAATTGTGGGTCAACTTTTGATTAAATTTTTATAAGGTATCTCCGAGATTAATTTGCAGAAACAGTCAAGACCTTGGGACCGGAATTTGGCGAAAATGCTACATTTTGGCTTATTTTTACATTAAATGTTTCGTATACATAATGTTTTTTTTTACCGATGAAAATAATATTTTCACACAAAATATATCTCCATATTTTTCGTACTCTCTTTGCGGCAATTTCTCGGCTGCGTCTGCAAAACGCGATCAAAATTTTCAGTAACTGTAATACGAAGAAGACACAACGAATACGCAAAATTTAAATGAAATCTGAAGTCGCACTTTAAGCTCAATTTCTTGCAAGATTTTAGACTTTCATGCCTAAAATCTAGCCGCCATGGCCTATTTTCCATATAAATTTAACACAGGCTCAGCCTTTTTTACGTCATTCGCAAGATGTTCGACGAAGCCAATGCCTCGAAGACTTATTGTCGAGATCATACGTGACAAGAAGAGAATATACAGTGGGGGACTTGATCCAGTGGCAAAAAACGTACCATTTTGCATTGGGAAGCATCAAAAATGTGGCAAAATGCTTCACTCTCCTAGTGAAGAAACTCCAATTTCAAAAGCTCGGCCGCTCTTTTAGTGAGGGAAAGGGCGCGTCCTTCAAAACGCGGTTTTTTCACTTGGAGAGGGAAGTATTTTGCCACATTTTTGATGCTTACCGGATGCAAGATGGTACGTTTTTTGCCACTGGATAGGGTCCTTCACCATACATCAATCGAACTGTTCTTTCTGCACATGAGGACGGCTCCACATCTTTGTCTCTGTCATTTCACAATCATCATGGTATGTATGTACTATATTTCTTAATATTTTATTTGTCAAAGAGTTCTGTTTTCGAGAGACGGTGGAATATGGACAAATGAATGTATTATAAATGAACGAAGGAATGAACCCGAAGGCAATGTTTTCTGAAAGCCCTTTGAAAGGTCGGTAATTAAGTTAGGAAAAGGGAAAATACAAAAAAAAATACGTCAAAATAGTAGTAGATATTATTCAAGACCGTAACCAAAAGTTCTGTTGTCAAAATTTGGGGGCAAATGACAGTGAGTGCTTATTACGAGATGTACAATGACAGTTTTATAAATAGGAAGAAAGGGAAACACTCCAAGAAAACGTCACAATTCGTTCGATTTTTGAGTATATTATACTTAACATAGGTAGTGAAAAGAGCCTCAAAATCAACCCATATTTCCTCTCCTTGCAGCAGAATCTTTCCGAAACAACCGCCACTCTTGGAGCACTTCCCTTTCCAATTACAATATCGATTACAACACCAAACACGAAGCTAGACTATACAAACAAACAAATTTTTGATTACAATTATCTGCCTCTTCCGTCCGTCGCCGTCACCGGATAGCACAGGTTGCCGGCGCCGCACGCGTACCCGTCCGGACATCGGCCGTTCACGCAGGGCCCCAGCACCGAGCCCGAGCCCAGCGAACAGCAGTAGTTGTTCGTGTTGCAGGCGTAGCCGGCGGGACACAAGTTGTTGACGCAGGGTCCTGAAAAAAGGAATTTTGATTACAAATAGATTTTCGGGTTGTTTTTTACAGTGTAATATTTAAAAATTTCAGTGGTAAATTTACTTTTCCAGGCAAGATAAAAGTTTCTGCTAAAAAATTTTTCTGTCTGCCCGACTCTAACTGTTTTATATACTCTCTCGTAAAAAAGAGTTAATATCTCGACTACGGATATACAACGTAAGATAAAATTTACTTCAGTTAATGTGTGAACGATGTAGAAGAACCCTACAAAATTTCAAAAATATCGAACCACGTACAAGGAAATTATACTCTCTTTTTTTCGACAAGACCTATTGCACGGTGCAATAAAAAAAATCCGACTTACCAGGCGATGTGCCGGACTGACAACGACAACAAAAGTTCTTGTTGTTACAGAAGTATCCCTGCCCACACAGGCCATTCAGACAAGCGGCTACAGCCGGATCTCCGTCGCAGGCGGCTAAAATAAGTTTTGTCAACATTGATCCCTATGGATAATATATTTAAGGTCAAAACTATGAATTTTCCTCATTAACTCACACGACAAATTAGTCTGCGGACAACAACAGCCCAACATACAGACAGTCGCCACCTGATATCGTTGGCATTGCGCGTTGTTCATGCATGACGAGTAGCAGCCGGAGGGACAGCCGAACTGACGTTTCACTCTGGTCGAGTTTCCGGGCGTTGGGTCGTCGTGGAGCTGATGATCCACTGCGTCCGCTAATAGCGACTTTTTCTGTTCATGTTCGGCGGCGTGATAGAGGCTGAAGGCGTGGAGGAGGAGCACGAGACCAAGCAGAAGGGCGTGCTTGTACAGCTTGGGCTCCATTGAATGACGGCCAAGTGCTCGCGGCGTTTGGTTGTCGAATGGGGGAACCCTGTAAATTATGGTTGCAAAATAACTATTGAAGATATTCAGGCGGTAACTTTTTATATCCAAAACGCCTTAGGCATTTTATGGCCGAAAAACCGGAAAGATGACCAAAAATCCCCAAAGATGAGGAAAATAGCCAAAAAAAACCTCTTATAACCCTCCAATATGGCCTCAAAATTAAAACAAAATGTCTCTATGTTAAGATACATAGTCTTGTCAACAACAATCAGTCGTTGCACAAACCCAACAAGTCGCACAAACCCCCAGTAAACAAGGTATTTACCCGGCGGTCAGCAAAAGGTAAATCTGCGCGAAACACGGAACTAAAAATAAATAACACCACCGTTGAAGCACTTGAGAAACAAATGCGGTCGTCGCGGACGTCGGATCGTCTTCAGGTCCTCAGGAAGATAAATAAAAAAAAGCTGAAGGTCGAAAGGGAAACGAGGAAAACCGAATTCCCGGCCATGGATCAGATGACCGCCGGGAAGAGCGGCGGTTCCCCTCAAGTGCCCCCGATTGGAAAGCGAATTGGAAAACAGCGCTGTAAATGGGCGGAGGGGGCGTTGTGAGCAATTTTGGTGCAGTTTTGGCATGCCAAAACCAGGCTATGTTTGAAAAAGCGGGGTTTTTGAGATTTTTAGAGAAGAATGAGTCTATAACAAGGAAAATGGTACAAGTTTCAAAGTGCAGATATTGACTGAATTAGCCATAAATTTAGATGAAAATTTTATAAAGCATTTTTGAAAGTTTTAGCTCGCGCTTTGCAGAAACAAACGGGATTTTTTGGACACCCTTAAAAAATTTAATTTTTTTTAATACGGTAATTTTCCCGAATCCTTGACGTAAAGACTAAGATAAGTATATATGTATTGTTTTCGAATAAAAAATAGGTATGACAAGAAACGTATTTTCTCTAGCCGCTCTCCTCAACTAACGTACTCTCTCACAAAAAGATGATTGGAAATCTTGGCATCGCCTTCAGAGCACTAACTAAATTCCTATAATTGATACGCCCTTTACATAAACAGTAAGCAAAATTTGACGAAGCTCTGAGCCTTTTGAGCAAGTCCAAAATCGGCTGATATTCAAAAACTTTGGCCAAAAACTCCACTTTTTTAAACAAATTTCACATTGCGCTTGTGAGATTACAACCGCTAAACACGAAGATTTTATGGAATTATCATCCCCGCCATGCGCTTGTAAAATTGTAGCCGAGCCTTTGTCGCAAAGACCGATGCAACGAAAGGTCGCGCCGACGGGATTATTCCCCCCTCGGGTCGCTTAAAAAAGAAGAATTTGAAAGACATGGGGTAAGCCAGTAATCATGCTCAATAAATACTTGGACAGCTACTGCTTCGATAGCAGTGGATCTGACTTGTACAGGGGTTAAAATTACTTATAGGACAAGGTGTCATAAGCTAATTGCAATGCTTTGAATAACAAATATTTATTTGTTATGATTTAATATACTATTGGCTCTTGAGGCCTTAGAAAGTGTTGCTATGGACAGGCTTTGTTATAAGAAGATACAGCGAAGATTTTACTGTAATCTTTCAAAATTTGTCATTCGAAACAAGTTGTTAATGCAAGTTTTAGTCCGTCTTTATCAGAAGCAACCAAGATAATCAAGAGTCTTTTCAGATGAGAGATAACAGAAAATGAGGCGATTCGGACAGCGGAAAACAGTTCTTAACTGTGTCTTTGCAAATTGCACACAATAAAAAAAGCAGTTTTCTCAAGTTCTCAATCAAACAAGATACCATATTTTTCGCAAGAATATACTGAAACTTCAACAACTTCAAGCAATTTTCGGAATCAAAAAATCTATTCAATTCATGGGGTACTAATTTTCTACTAGAAAAATCAGTTTTATCACATGAAATTTACAAAGGTATGAGCAGAAAACGCCTTTTCCTATGACTTTTCTCATTGTCAGCAAAAGACTCTCTAGTCCGCAGAGTACATTGAATATCTCGGCTACTACGGTAAATCGCCAACTAAGATTTCCAGCAAAGGATATGTGAACAAGCTAAAAAGTATGTGTAAAACTTGAAGAAAAATCGGTCGATACCTGAGATATTCGACTGGAAAATTAAGCTCTTAAAATTCCAAAAATAATCAAAAAATTTTCTATGAGCTTTTTAGAGGATAAGGAACGTTTTAAAAATTTTAAAAACAATATTTTGAACATAAATCTCAACGCTTTATATGTACAAGGAGGACGAAAAACCCCCGTCCGAAATTTCCCAGCCCAAAAAGTTGTTGGGGTGCGCGAAGAATCGGACTTAGAGCCACCCAAAAATTCGAAAAAATTCGAAAATAGTGCAGATTGTTTGCACACAACTTGTGTCCATCTCTCCCTCTCTCTCTCTCGCTTTGCTTCTCGGTCGGTCGCGCATTCCTTCAGCTCGAGGGCCTTGTGAAAAATGAATGGTTAACACTGACAAAAAATAACTGACCGAACCGCAGGCCATTTAGTTTAAAAATTTGTCGCCAACAGTTTAAAAAACGGTCTGGCCAGACAAGATGGCCAGATGAGAGGGTCAAGTGGATGGTCAACGATTTCTAGGAGTGATTTGTTGAGGTTGAAAAAACTGAATTTGTTGGCGAGGTGCTAAGAAGTGCGACGCCCAGCTTTCGTTTAAATTTTGCACGTATGTATGTAGTGGCTGGGCCAAATTCTGTTGAAATATTGATGCAAATTTATAAAGATAGTTTTATCAGTTTCTCAATTTGCATATAAAAGTTTCCTGAACAAATAAAAAAAGGCTTTTTTTTGAAAAAATGAACAGAAGACCAAGAAAATCTTCTTGCAAAAAGCTGCTTGAAAACTTGATGAAATTTACGCCTATATTTCACAAAAAAAATCTTGATTGTTTCTGCATAGCGCGAGTTAAAAATCTCATCAAAAATTATGCTTTTAATAAGTAGGTAAAAACTGGATGGCGGTCAGAAAAAAAAAGTTTTTTTGGGCAGACAAATCTATGTGAATTTGCGAAAGAGAAACAAGACTGATCTCATCCTTCAAATACAGTGGGGGAGGCAAAAAACGTATCATTTTGCATCCGGGAAGCATAAAAAATGTGGCAAAATGCTTCCTTCTGCAAGTGAAAAAACTTTGTTTTGAAGGGCGCGCCCTTTTTCCTCATAAAAATCGTAGTTTTTTTCGCTTGGAGAGGGAAGCATTTTGCCACACTTTTGATACTTCCTGGATGCAAAATGGTTCGTGTTTTGTCACAGGATCAGATATCCCACTGTAGGAGGCCAGAATTTTTAGGAATCAGTGTATGGCCAAGACCCAACATGTCTATAAAATTTTTAAAAAATCTGTAAGGTGCATTTCAAAACATTTTCATGTAAATTTTTAACAAAAAAAGTATCACAAGCAATATGAAACACCTCCAAAATGAGTCACAATCCCCCCACGTCCAGGCCAAGGCCATCCGAATAGTAAGAAGGAAAAGATCCCGCGCTTATGTTTATATAAATTATTTGTTAATCAGCTTAGCAGCTGAAGAGTGGACAATAAATGGGGACTCGAGGACAATCGAGACGGCTTTCGCGGCGAAGAAAAGAAGACAAAGGTGATACGTGGTGTCGTTAAGGAACCCGTTGACCACCTGCAATCAAGTCTTGGCTATACAATGAAGCTGTGGGAGGATGAGTAATCGAGAGTGAGAATTTAGAAGAGAATAAACATATATAATCGGAAATTTCAACGGTCCTTATAAGGGAATGGGCAATTTGGATGAGAAAAGGTTGGAAAGGAATTTTTTTTCGATTTGCGTATGGAGGTACCCTCATAAACCCCAAAAAATAGTAAAAACAACAAAAGGCCAAGTCAAGTTTTTTGCAAAAAAAAAATAAATTTTTTGAATTTTTTTTTAATTTTTCACAGATACGATGCCTAGGCTGCTCATCAATCCCTTAAAATTTTAGATTGCACTTTACAGGAATAGCCGAGATACCCAGTGCGATCGCTTGTGGACAAGAGAGCACAGATTATGGAGAAAAAAAAACTTCCAGAAAAAAAACTTTTTTATCCCTGTCTTTACGAATTTCCATTGAAGAAATAAATTTTATGAAGTAATCTTGTTGTGACTCGTTCAAAATGCCTGTTTTTTCTGTTTCCTTGACTAACTTTTCAATTTTTACCAAAAATAATATTAGGTGGTAGTACGGTAAATGCGGAGAGCGGCCAGAGGAAAAAACAACTTTTCCTGTCCATGTTTCTGCCAATTTCATAAGAAAAAATCGACTTTATTGAGAAAATTTTTTGAGCTTTGCCTTTTCGAAATAAATCTGGCTTTTTTCATTCACAAACTTCAAAAAAGGTGACAAATTCTTACCATCTTTTCGCTCAAAAATCTCTGTTGTTCCTGCAAAGCGCAAGCCATAAGTCTTCCATAGTGTGTTTTAAAAAATTTCAGTCCAAATTTGTGTGAAGTTGCTTTAATTTTTTTGCACATTTTTCTCATTTTTCAATATCAAATTCACAAATAAAACCTAAATTATTTTGATTATAATTTCCCTCTTTCCAGCACTTTCCACGAATATAATTTGAATGAACTTTGCTCAGGCATCTCTTTTACAATCTTTAAAGGTTATAAACCGTTCGCAATCCTCCCATCGCATGCATCAAAGACGGATCGGCGAAAGCTCTAGAAATGCCATCAGACATGTGAAGAATGTGTGGAAGATGAAAAAACATATCATAAAAGTTGCGTCATAAAGCGCTGATCTCATCATTGTTACGCTCGAAAAAATGAGTAATTAATTTTTGAAACGCTCGGGAAACAATCAAGCGTTGACTTGCAGATGAATGCGAGCTTTGAACGTTTGGAGGCTATTAGATACCAAAAAATAAATATTTCAAAAGAAGGTAACAGAATGAAAAAAAAATTGATGAAATTTTTATATTTACATGTCAGTCGTCTGTCGGCCAAATATTA